GCCACCGGTGGCTGACAAAGCTCTCACTTGGGACAATGGTATCCACCGGTGGCTGCCGTGTTTCAAATGGAATTTGGAAAGTTTTCTTTCCTGAAAAGAATCTTCATACCCTCATTCATCTACGCCAGCCCTGGGCAGAGGAAATCTCCATCCACTCAAATTTTATTGAAGAAAAATCTCCTGACTCTCTGCTATTGCGCAATCCGGCGCGGTCGCGAATGGGTTAACCCATTAAATATGGGATTTGATTTGTTAGCGATACCGAGTTTCTCAGAGACTTCCGATGAAAACGAACGGTATACCTTTCGGCGTTGACCACTGCAACTTTTGGGTTGCGCCACCCATTCGACTTCCACTGTGAACCGTAGTGAAAGTTGGGAATTGTTTGACCTTCACATTGGCACAGATTTTCGTTCTTCTCGGGTTTTCAATGGTCACCCAGTGGACAAGTCAGGAGTTCATTCTCTCAGATGAATCTGCTACTAATAAGCCGACTCTGAGGAGACAACTTTAGAAGCCTGAGAGAAATCAGATCAATTCCACCCCTGAACCACGGGCGCTGTAATGGCGGCACTTGCCACTGCTCTACGAGCCCATCGAAGCTGCCACCATTCCATACTCAATACTTTTAAATTTAATAGTTCCTTTCGATAAGACAGCAGGCAGTTAAGAGAGCTGACCAACACTCAGCTCATCCGACCATCTGTGCAAGGCCCTGAGCGGCAAAATACCGACGATGAGAAGGGAACTAGCCCTAATTATTCTCCAACTCCCTTCCCCCCCCCCCTTCGGCTCCCTCTAAGCGTTAACCGATTATCGCCGCTTTTTTGTGACCAATAACAACACGATAGTTGGAAAAAAAACCTTTGAAGCTTTTCAAATAAGCTTCTTTTTTGATTTTATGAATACCCAGAAGGTCCCATGTAAAAGGAGTTAGCAATAGAAACGACAAGGTTGTAGTGGTGTAGTGGAAAGGAGCGCCGATATCGTACGCATGGCAAGGGTGTCGAAAGTCGTCCCCCGTACTTAATTCCACTTCCATTAATTGTGGTCGACACTATATTGCCGAATCGCCAAGGAAGCAAAGATAAAAACACAGACTTGAAGTTTGCCTTGTCACGGCGTACGTCAGGGGCACAGATGAAGGCCTTCAAAATAAGAGGTAGATGCGTGGCGTATTCTAGAAACTTATTCATCAGAGCCTAGTACTCTGGCCTAATGGAAGTAAGTCTAGTCTTGGTAGATATAATCACGTAAGGGGATCAAGGGTTTACTATGGTGCCAATAGTTGCGATGGTACTCGTGAACCGACTGAACTGGGGCGTAGTATGGCAAATGACCAGAAAGCGATCTTAAAAGGATGGAGGGGGGGGGGACAGGGTCAACCCTATCGTTGTTACTTTTTGAAAAATTTTTACGACCCCCCTCCCCCAAGGTGGATTTGATACGACCCCCTTTTCGACACCTCGACCACCATCATCGTCTCTATAGTATTTTAATTCTGATACCACTCAACCCACCAAACTCCGCCCACTTTTTCCTCCAAAAATGCCGTCGAGCGGGGGGTATATAGCTACTCTGAAACAGTAAAAATTCCCTATATCTCCGCCATTTTACTCCTACTTTTACCGGCTTTTACCCATATTTACCTATATTCCCACTACTTCATTTTCTAGGGGGGGGGGGACTCACATGTGATCTTCAAGCGACTGAAATTGGTACGACCCCCCTCCTACAAACTCAACCACGGGTACGACCCCCCTACAGAACCTAACCAAGTATGACCCCCGTTGTTACTAGTAACAACGTAGGGTTGACCCTGGGGGGACTCGATAACCAAAATTTGCGTTAAATTAGAAAGAGTGTCATTTTGTATGTAATGAAACTGTTCACCAATATGCAAGAGTTCAGTGGCGTTGCATGTACGAAAAACGGGTGTGGACGGCTCAGTCGTGCATGCAATCCCTTTGGTGCTGGCCTCCCATGCATCCATTCTCGTGGGTAGCTCTACATTCGACTGAATGCAAACACAGACCATACAAACATTCTTCCCAGACGATTTTTGGACTTTTCTCATCATCTTCGCTTTCAGTTCCGTTTATCGACCTGAGTCTCAATGTTGAGACACTCAAATTGAGCAGCCAGAAAGGGGATATCGCTTTTGTTGCGTTTCCGTTTCGTCAAGGCTATTTACTAGCAGAAAAGCAGTTTGATGTTCCGCCGTCTGCCGTGGGCGCTCGTCTTTCAGTATTTATTCATAATCTACCAGTTGAAAATTAGCGTTGCCATTTCAGAGCAGCATGCGCTGCCTGGTGCTCGACTTCTGAAACGCGATTGGGAGAAAGACCACGTCTATCTGGTTCAGTTTCCACGTGCCGGTTGCATACCAACCCCGTCTCCGTTTGCACTCAAAGTCGAAACATGGTTACGAATGGCCGACGTTCCATACACGGTCAGTCACTTCACCAGAAAAAGGCGCAAATCATACTCATCAGCTTACGTCCAAAATTTTCCACCTATTGTATTTTGTTTCTGTTTCTGTAACATCAGTCCGCCAAGTACTTGACCGACTTCAGAATACATCGTGGGACGCGGAGGGATAGCCCTTCTAGGAGAGACCCCCTCTGCGGCATGCCAACTCGGCCCACCAGCTCTTAGGAACGAATTTACATATAGAGTTAGGGTATGCCAACGCCGAGGGCCTGTGCTAGGACGTAATAGGAGTTTTTGAGAAAACTTTGAGAAATTTCGCGAAGGTATGGAATTACGGTAACTATAGAAAAATGTTGCTCTGGATTTTTAAACACATTTGGGAGAACTTAAGTGAAAGACCGAGGGTCTTACTATCCCTTGCGGGTCCTTTTAGGCCGGCCTGGAAGTTTGAAATAGGCAATTTCCTTTTCACGTGATTCACCCTGTTTGTAGCCACAATCAGGTCTAACAAATAGCCACCACCGTTAGGCCGATGTCAGACTTTGCGAATCGAGCGATTCGCTAGCGTCTGCGGTCGCGTCGCGGCCAGCGAATCACTCAATTGGCTGGTACCGCAACGCGACCGCGGACGCTAGCGAATCGCTCGATTCGCAAAGTCTGACATCGGCCTTAGCCATTCAGTAGCCCACTCGATTCCCCAGAGATCATAACTAGGTTCCAAATACGTTCTGGGCGTTATAAGTTCCCCCTTGTTCAGTCAGCACCTCCAAACTTGAATAAACGGGCAGGTGCGGAGTTTTGAAGAAGTTAAGTTACACTGTAGATTGTTGAGGGCGCTTTCACCCGTCAATGATCGCACTGCGACCGCACGCGTCACGTACCCACCACCTGCTATTCTATTCTCAGAACTGCACCCTAACCGCAGAATTTTAAAAGCGTGTGGCACATAAAGCATCTAAGTGCTCAGTTCTGAATTCACGCCTCACATAACACTACTAGAGGTCCTCAAAGGAGCGGCTGTATACACGGTGATCTATAAGGTTGAAGCTGCAGACAACCGCAGAACGGAAGGGAACATTCTTCAGTTTTTCGAGCTTTTTCCGAGGAGAATCATATCCGTTTCCAGAATATCAGCAATGAGTTCACCAAGATGTCAAACAAGGGTCAGATTCCATTCGTGGAGGTGAACGGTAGACAAGTGGCCGACAGCAACTTCATTATCGATCATCTCATTGAGGAATTCCACAAGGTCAGTTGTGGACCAAGTTGGCGGATTTCCCTCCAACTAGTTCTAACATTTGAAATTTCTAGATTTCGTACTTTCAGAAGAACATCGACGATCGCCTGACACCGATGGAAAAATCATATGCGAGAGCTTATCACGCTCTGATTGAGGATAGTCTGCGTTGGTGAGTCGATTATCGATTCGCTTGTACATTACGCGTGTAAGAAAATCACCGATTTCAGGGTGCTAATCTATCAACGTGGCCGTGACAATAAGTGGTTTGCCACTGAAAAGGGTTTCTTGCCATACTTCAATGGAATCAAGAAATTCGCCTTCAAAAATATCATGTGCGAACGACTACGGAAACGAGTACGTTAATTGCACTGGGTTATAGATACCGTTTACAGCCCATTTAATTAGTCGCTGCTGTGATGACCGCTATCAGTCGCGAGCGGTTGCGATGCGACACACTGCTGCACCGTAACCCTTCCAGACCTCAGTCTTAAGCAGAGGGCCGTGCACCTTAAATGCAACCGTGCGGTCGCAATAGCGGCTCAATCAGCGGCCTTCAAAAGTGGGACTGGCGGGTACTGCAGCCCAATCCAATTCATCCAATCACTCGATTTTTCAGATTATGTCCCAGGCGACGGCGCAAGGAATGGGGCGCAATACTCCCGAAGAAGTGGTGATACTGGCGAAAAAAGATCTCGATGCAATGAGCATGTTCCTTGGCAATAAGAAGTACTTTTTCGGCGACAAACCAGCCACGGTAAATATTGTAAATATTTCCTCCTTAAACTTCCCTTATCGATTGATATCGATTTCAGCTCGATTGTACAATGTTTGCGCACTTGGCACAATTTCTCTACACACCACTTGTTACGCCCGAAATCAAAACGTATATGGAACAGAGCACTCCAAATTTGGTTGGTTTATTTTACTCATTATTTGACTTTTCATAGGAATCACAATGTTTCAAGCTACTTCTTCCATTTCCAAAAGGAACTAGTCATTGGTGTTTCATGAAGGATTTCACACTTGTTATGATGAGTGAATATATGAAAATAAGGCGAGCGGTTGAGATGCGGTTAGTGTAATATGAACCGCGAAAATTTGATCGGATGACAAACGCTCCTATCCCGTTCTGAACAATCCGTGCTAGAACATGACTAACGCGCGGAGGTGTGCAGCAGTGAGTTACCGCGCGACGCCGCGCCAAGTAGCTGTGAATCGTGCACTATAACTAGACGTCCTGGCTTAGGGGGTTTCCCGTGCTTCTAATACGCAAGCACCGCGTCTGGATCGCATTCCCGCATCAATACCATTGTACAGAAGGTGCGACTAGAGCGTATTGCGCTGTAAGAATGCGATACAGGCTGCGTCTTGTGTGTTAAAACGATGTCAGACTTTGCGAATCGAGCTTCGCAAAGTCTGACATCGGCCTTACACGGCACGCAACACACGGCTCAGCCCCTTCAAAGGTGGCACGCAAATTCAAGCTGCAAACGGGCGCCAAAGCTGCGCGGTGACTTCCTACTGCATACCATGAGGACCGATCCTATCCTTCCCTCAAGAAGACGCATTCCCCAAGCTGACTCTTGTGGGAGACAGGGGGTACCCCTCCAGGAGGCCCGTCGCGCGGCAAGAAGGCGAGTCAGCGGACGAGTTGCGCGCGTATTAGGGAAATTCGCGTCAAGTTAAATAGAATGTCCCATTGCACGTCCTTCATCGCACATCACGCGCTGCGACTCGTCCGCCGACTCTGCCTTCTTGCCGCGCGATGGGCCTCCTGGGGGTACCAGGAGACAGGGTTGCGTCATACGACCGCCATGAACGCGCGATGTTGTAGCTACCCCTCGCTGATGACGCGCACTCTTTCTGAGGGGTCGCGCTGACTGGAGTCTAGAAACGCAGAGTATGGCTGGCATATGAGGCAAACTTGTCTCACTCAACATGAACCTGGACGGCCGGGAACGCGTCTCCTGGAGGGAGGATAGGATACGCCTATGTACAGCAGAAGTGGCCGCTCTGTGACTGCACGCTTTAGTTCCACGCATTGCGAAGAGATACGCGCTCTGTGATGGCAACCCCGAGCGTTTTACCAAATGCAGAATTGTATTCTCCTTTTTATTCGGTTTAATTCACCCAATTTAAAATTTAACTTTTCAGGTGGCATTCGTTAACCGAATGAAAGAAACATATTGGCCGGATTGGGACGAAGCGACGAACACTCGTAGTCTCAGCACTAAATGGAAGCAGTGAACGTAGCAAGCCGTTGACGGTCATAATCCAACAGACCGCGTATTCGCCTAAATCTTCGCTTATTGTTGTTGATCTACATCATCCCCGATTCCATACAAGGATATATCAGCTGACATATTCTTCACTCTTAAATATACACATGCATTGTGTACACGCGTGAACAAGCACCCCGCTACTGCCAAATATATATGATATGATATGATGATATGTACTTCTTCACACATTCATTTTTCATCTCTACGAGTTTATTTTTTCATTGAAAAAAAATGTAAATAAAGAGATTTCACCAATCCATCTCTATGTATACCCATGTCAATGTGCACGTCATCATGTACGTAATAACAACAATGAGAAAATCAACGAACAATTAAAAATGATGTTTGAAAAAAAAAGACCTGTGACTGAAAGGAAGAAAAATGATTTGTTATAGGACCATAAATTGCTCCAAAATAATATCTCGTAGCTTGAGGTATAGCGGGCCGGCACATCCTTCGATATGGAATCGGCCAGCTTCATTGCGACGAATTGAGATCACTCCTAGAACAGAACATGATCGAATTATAGGCCAGTTGACTAACCTGGGTTCTAATTTTGTACAGGCTCGGCTGACATGGTCGGTTTGAAAGCATGAACTCAGACGCATGGAGTCTGTATGAGGTAACCAGATGGAATCTCAATAAAGACCCAAGTGCCTACCAGTGGTGATGAAGGTGTACAGTCGACTACCGACGACGTGATCAAGTTGACCTCTCACGTAACTTCAATCCGATTCTATCCCTTTGCATAAGCCGTACTTCGTTTTTTTTTCTCAGCATTATTTAATAATCCACTCATTTTTCAGAGGATGGCAGAATATATGCTGTCGTCCGGGTCAATAAACGTGACTAAATTTTAGAAGCGAGAAGTGTTAACGCATTGAACACGCCTGACATGCGCATCAGGACTTGCGAGTTGCGGCCAGGGTCAACCGTCCGTTCGACCTGTTCGAACGAGGGGGTCGCATTTTGGTCGGAAGGGGGGGCACAATGCGAGCGGCGCGTCATGGCAAGAAATGAAAATAGACTTCAAATGCCAGCCACAGGCGCGTGCGTGGCGTATCCGAGGGCAAGAATTGTTTGTGCAGACCGCATTAGATTCGATTAATTATGCACAGAGAGACAGTTTTAGGCAAATTACGGTGTTTTCCTTGAGGAATAAAGAACAGTTGAATGCATCCCTATGAAAGGTTTGACTTCTCGGGGCTGAAAACAAAGTTCTTTGGAGACCTAATTTTTGGGACGCTTCTTCCAATGTACTGTGAAACATGTAAGGAAGCGGAAATCTCGTAGTCTTCACAAAATGTCTTTATCCCTCTCCAACAAGCTCTTTGAAGGAAGTTATCATTGCTGAAAGCTCAAAAACTCGCATGTGCTGCTCAAAAACCTATGGGAACAAAATGTTCGAACGTGTGATTTTCTCGAAAATGAATTTTGAAAAACGGTTTGGGCTTGTTAGAAAGAGCAAATCCTGTACTTTCACCCCATGAAAAAAGTGCATCACAGAAATGAAAATGAAGTGAGTTATGGTCGCTGAAAGCCCAAAAACTCGCTTTTGCACGAAAAAATGTTCGAACGGGACAATTTTTTGAAAAAGGGGACAATCACTAAACTTTTTATACTGTTTTGTTAGAGAAATATTTGAAGTTTCTGAAACTTTTTACAGATTTCCAAAATGTCGCATACGAAAGATTTTATGGGCCTTCAAAGTTGAAGGTGCGCCTTCTTAGAATTTTGGGTTTTCCACTTCTAACAGAAGTACTTTCCGGAGAGTTAGGCAATCCTTGTAGTTTTCTGAAAGCGCACCTCAGGCACAGTCAAAATCTACCTCAACAAGTCAAAAAAATACGTCCCAAGAAAGTTATTCCCCTCTAAAATTTTTTCTTCGCCGCGTTCCGTTCTTCCAGCGTCCGGGTGATACCTGCCGCGCTCCATTTTTGAAAAAAAAATCAGTATTCAGATGAATGAAGTTCATTGTTCTTTAAGTGAAATAAATATTTCACACGACACTCAGTACCACACTTAGTACACATTAGCACTATCATTACCAAACAAGGGAGCAGGTAGGCACTGGACCTCCTCGAGAGGGGGTCGCAAAAATCCCGAAAATGTTCGAACGTGACGGTTGACCTTGGTTGAGACCATATAGTCGTTTTGACGCGCATGCGCGTCATAGATTTGCTAACCATTTTCTCACGCTCATTCTTCCCAAATTTTCTTTTTTTGCAATCATTCTACAGACAACACACAAGCGTAGCTATAAAACAAACGACCGCCAGAATGATCACTTATCCTTTGATCAAGTCAATTTCATTCTTCTTTTTACATGTGAAAGGTTATGGTATAAGTAAACACGAAACTTTGGATGGCAAGATATGTGTTTTTAAAGGAACAGCCAAGGTAAAAATGCTTTTAACGTCATTAAAAGCGAAAGTTGATAGCTTTTTCTTCTTGGTCGTTATCCATTACTATGAACAAAATGCTAGATTAATTTAGCCTGCTACCCTCCACGTTTTCATCATTGCTGAAATTACTTCGTGACATTCATAATTTTGTGTAATTGATGATATAAACTCGCGTATTTTAAGCCAGTGCGCCCGCAAAATCGCTACTGTCCCGGCTAAAAATCCTAAAAGCGCGGTGCCGTCAACAAATTAGATAATCAAGCAGAGGCTCCTTCGTCGTGTGGCCGCAAAGTGCAATGTGCATAGCGCACAACCAGTTGAATCAAACCCGTAGAGTAACCGTATGTAGTGCTATATCGCTTATAGGTCCTCAAACATGTCGAGGCGGACAGAACGGGATAGATCAGCGGGCTAAAAAACCAATTCCTGGAACGCGACTGGGCCTGTTTTAGGCCGCGTTCATAGTTCGCGACTCGGGAGATTAGGATAGTAGGCGATAGGATATTAGGATAGTAGTAGAGTAGGAGATTGCGCTGACAAGATTGGATACGTATCGATTGAAATCGCTGGAGAGTAGTAGATTGGGCGACTTCAAGCGAATAGATCAATACATATCTAATCTTGTCAGCGCACTATCCTAATCTACTACTATCCTAATCTCCTACTCTACTACTATCCTACTATCGTAATATCGCAATCTACTACTCTCCGGCGATTTCAATCGATACGTATCTAATCTTGTCAGCGCAATCTCCTACTCTACTACTATCCTAATCTCCCCTCAATACATATGTTTTTCATTGTCGCGTACTATCCTAATCTCCGGAGTCGCGAACTATGAACGCGGCCTTAA